TGATAAAAAATTGAGTCAAAAAGTCTTGAGCCTTTTTTTGTACAATTCTTAATTATGCAGTTATTCCCCGAGTTAAACTAATCCAATCGGCGTCGTTCTTTAGACGAGCGCACATCAGTGAGCCGCGGGCGTAGTAGTGTGCGTGAACACAGCGGCGAGATCATAGCGACGTAGCGGCGCGGCGCGCGGCGGATCGCTCACGCACACTAGTACGCGCGCGGCACACTGATGTACGTCCGTCTAAAGAACGGCGTATATTGGATTATTTTAACTTGGGAATAACTGCATAATTAAGAATTGTAGAAAAAAATGGCTCAGAACTTTTTGACTCAATTTTTGATCAGGAATAACACTATATGATTAGTGGTCGCTATTTAAGTTACACCCTGTATAATTGTGTGTTAAACTACGCGGTTTAGTTTAAGTTATAATTATTGTTTTAATATACCTACCTTTTAGCATACGTTCTCATTTAATATACGTATATATACCGGTTATTGCGATAAATATCATCATATGTCTCGGTGGTTGAGCTGGTTAGGACGCTCGCCCCAGAAAGTCGAGAGGTCCCAGGTTCAAATCCCGGCTGAGGTAACATTTTTCACAATAAGTTCTTTTCAGTATTTTAAAATGTTTATAAATATCGATTTATTAAGAATTGAAGATCAATATAATATCTCTAATTTCAGCTTGTCAGCTAAAAATGATTGCATTACAAGTCTGAATTCGGTGCGTAGTTTAAATGACTGAACATGAAATTCATATAATATTCGTTAGACATCGAGATCCAGCCGTGACCGCAGAAGGCGCTTTCGAATTTAGTTGTGTGATTCACATACGCGGTCTAGCTCAAATTATAATTATTGTAATAATATTGTTTTTACTAAAGAAAGGTATGTAAAATTTGAGCTTTTGAGAACTGCAAGGCGATCGAATAAATCGTACGTATTTTTATGTATTTTGAGTTGTAGAATCCGAAAATGATCACGAAAATTACACCTGTAACAAAGAAAACATGGAAATCAAAGGAAAATGAGAAAACAACGTGAAATTGTTAAAATTTTCAAACGTAATTTTCTTACGTTATTTTTACGTTTTCTTGCGTATTTTGAGTCACAAAATCTCGAATCAGAGGTACTCAAGATATTAATACGTTGATATTGCTGACCATTGGCTGGATCAACCAACGATCTTGCGTTCGTTGGCTAGATCAATCAACGATCTTGCCTTCATTGGCTGGACATCTTATATTATAATAAATACCTGGACAACTCTGAAACGGCTGCAGAAGTAATGTGAATATAACTACATTTTGAAAGAATTTCAAGGACGGCTATAAATATATGTATGTAATAAAAAATATAAGGGATAAGGTATTTGAAAAATTCAAGATAACCTTCGGCAATGTAATTAAAAACTGATAAATGAAATAATCAGGGACTTTAAGCCTTACAACTTCCATTTTAAACATTTTTTTTTTACAAGAAAACTATACTTCTCGAGATATTTTGCTGGGCCGGAATTTTTGCACATCCTAAATTTTGCACACATTTTAAATACCTCTAGATAGCTGGTTTGAGATTTTATGACTCAAAATACGCAAGAAAACGTAAAAATATAAACGTAAGAAAATGACATCCGGTAAGTTTAACAATTTCACGTTTTTTCTCCTTTTTCTTCATATTCCATGTTTTCCCCCATTATAAGAATAATTTTTATGGTTATTTTCGGATTCCACGATTCAAAAAATATGTACAATTTATTCGATCGTCTTGCATTAGGGGAGACCGGGGCTCGTTGGCAGTTTTCGCAATTTAGACGTTTGTTGTAATTCTTTTGAAACAACTATTTATTATGATTAAATTATATTAATATGATAGGATGATCATTTCTCTACATTTTTATGCCAGCAACGAATCTGTATACTGTATAGTTTCTTTGTAGTATGTGAAATACGAACACGCTGCAATGTAGCCAATTATTTATCCCAATAGTCGGATAAATTAACACATATCACAGTATAAGGTGCTTAAATGATAAACTTCATATTAAATTAATAAAAATGTAATAGAAGTAAAAACAGATCGTAGATATGTATTTTTTAAAAAAAGATTGCATCTTTTAATTTTTTATTTTGTAATGATCAAATAGCAAAATGCTGTTATAGAATAATAAATGTAAACTATTTTAGATGTAGTTTGTTTCAATACAGAAATATTAAATAAAAAATATTTTATAATTAAATTGTAATTGAAAAGTTACAGTAATTTTCTTACAGTAAATCAAGTTAAGCTTGCCTTAAATATGAGCCAACATATTCCACACTTACAGACATGTAATTTAAATTATTTTATTATATAATAATAAATTATGGTTATTACTCAAAATAACATGTCGTATAGTAACAGAAATTTTTCTTCTAACTAATAATACATCACTTATTGTTAGATTTACTTTTTTCAGTTAAAGAACATTGATACCAAAGTGTTTTAAAACACTTAAAAATTTATTTGCTTACTCTTGAATCAGATTTTTTCTTTTTTTATTGAAATATTTGTTTGATTTAAATGAAACTTAGAGAAATGTACCTATATTATAAAAGAGATATTTTATGGTAACTTTTTCATTGTTTGTTTAGTCATAAATACATAAACGGAACGCAATACCAACTTGCTTCTTGTGCCAACAAACCCCTACATATGCTAATTATATAGAATAAAAATCATAATTATACGTGTTATATAAATTATAATATATTATTTCTCTTCAAATTAACTTTTTTCACACTTGATGTATTGTGATGATAAAATTAAATTTTACCATTGTTAGTATGAATACCTGTATGCTCACGTTGCCCTGGCGAAAATTTGGAGTACCACCTCCTTTTTTCTCATCCCTTGCACTTCGCACCTGGTTAAGTCGGAGCGTCACCCTCGGCGAGCTTCCAGACTGCCCAGTTCCCGGTCTGTCGACTGTAAAAAAAATCAAAATATTAATTGCAAAAAAATGAATGCCAAGAAATAACGTCGAAATATATTCTACCGTTCATAAGTTTCTAAACACTTAAAATGAAATTAATCACATATTTCTATATAATTTTTTTTATAATTTTGGTAACATGACAATAATAACTTAGTCTTTTGCTATAAAGTAATAAATAGTAACTATAAAGTAATAAAAATATATATGTCACGGATTGATATCTCCTTCCTATCTAAAAAAAGGCTTACTTCGTTGAGTATTGTCATTGCATATTTTGACAATGGTCTGTATTGAGGTTGATGTGATGTAATAACAAATTATAGTAAAAGTAAAAAAATTTATTTTACGCGCAAAGCGCGCGTCTGTAACGCTGGTATTTTCAAATATCAAAGTTAAAATATCAAAGTTTGTTTATTAAATGCATTAAATGCAATAATTTTTGTAACAAAAGTTTTCGTATGTATTGCTTTTACAGATTTGGGAATTCTTTTTCAAAATTAAAGTATAGACAATAAAGATGCAGATGAAAACGATTCATATAAAAAATGAAATAAATTTTCAAAAATGACAGTTCTGTTATAAACGCCTGGCATCGATTCATAACATTTGCTTATAGAAAAGTTTTATACTTTTACGTATAAAATAAGTTTCATTCGTACTTACAAAAAAAAAGAACAATTACTGTGCTTTTGCAAATAACCCTAGATATTTTAGTAAAAAAAAAAATTGTATGTAAAAATATACGCATGCATATACGCGTGTCACATTGAGGTATAATAACAGTAAACATCAACACATCATTATATATCAATATTGTATGCATACATATAAACAAATTATCAGTTAAGTAGCGACGCTATGGAGTTTGGCCTCTGGTTTAAAAACACGCTAAACTAAAGATCAAACTCCAAAACGGTGCTGTTTCACCAAAAATTTATGCATTTGTATGCGTGCGATATTGATGTTATATAGGTAGTAGTGTGTAGTGACTATAGTGATGTGTTCATGTTTACCATCACATCAATATCGCATGCACACGTAACAAATTTTCAAGCATTTTCAAGCTTAAATCTTTCGTATTAGGCATCTAATTCAAAGAACTCAACATTGGTCATGTAATTTGCAGTTCAGGCTGCTTTCATTTTGCATCAACAGATTGCAAAATTAGCATATAAAAATTCCAAGGAGTGGAAAATCAGTTGCTCAAGATTATAAAACTTTATTTCTCTCGATTGTTCAAACATGATTCAAATAGATGTGGTGAAAGATATAAAAAAAAAAATAAAAAGTAAAGAAAAAAAAGATATAAAAAATAAAGAGACAGTAGATATAAATAATTTTTCACATAAGAACAAAGAAAACTTCGAAGTTGTCGCTGTTTATTACAATACACGACTGAAGTGGAATACACGATCAGTCGTATATCGCAATAGATAGCGACAGATTTGAAGTTCTCTTTATTTCCATGTAAAAAAGTCAGTCTCTTAATTTTTTATTACTTTGACCACATTATTTATTCCACTCCTTGGGATTTTTATATGCTAATTTTACAATCGGTTTATGCAAAATGAAAGCAGCTTGAACTGAAAATTACATGACCAAACAATGTTGAGTTTTAGAATTAGATGCCTAATATGAAAGATTTAAGCTTGAAAAAGCTTGAAAATTTGTTACGACGTGTGTATATGATATTGATGTGATAGTAAACATGAACACATCACTACACACTACTACCTACATGACATCAATATCGCACGCATACAAATGCATAAATTTATAATGTTTGAACAATCGAGAGAGATAAAGTTTCATAATCTTGACCAACTGATTTTCCACTCCGTTGAGATTTTCATATACTGGACAAAGATTAATTTGAGTAACACCATGATGCCACGGCTTACATATTATTCTATTCTAATTCAGGCTATACCGATCTTTGATTTCTTTTTTAATTCTAATTAATTATTGCGATCTCCGTTTTTTTAAATATTTTAATTAACTATTTTTAATCCGGCTGAAGAAAATTAAGTTAAGTCAAAACATGTACTGCGTATTTAATTTTTAGTATGTTACATTATTATAATAAAGGTCATCGTAAAGCAAAAAAAGCTTCGTTTTATATGCTCGTTAGTTTGGTCCATTTTATTTCTTAATCTCCAGTCTGAGTTACATTGATGCTTATACTTTAATCACTTATACTTTAATGAAAAAGAATTATTAAATATGTAAATTATAATTATGTTAACGGTGTTTAGGCGATGCTGGAAGATTTGTTTTAGTGTTAGGGGCTTTCTACAATAAGCCGTTAGTCACTACTCATATCATACTAACTAAGAATTGACCAATCGTAGTCGAATATTTTTCTTACATTCAACTGTGATTGGTCAATTCTTACGATTTACGGCTTACGATCTGACATACGACGTA